GGACATGTTGACCAACACGTCCAAGTCCACACTAGTGACAATCTTTAGCAACAACTATAATATATGCGAATTTAGCAGCTTATGTTCATTTCAGAAAAAAACCCTAGCACTTTCTGTCTTGCCTCGAGCCCAGAGCCCCAAACGACTCTTTGTCTTTCCGTGTCAGACTTTTCCCATTCAACAAACATGGCATGCACACATGTCATGCATCCATGTGGTGAACTTCTTAGGATTCCAAAATAAAGGCTAAGATGTGCCCCATTTTTCCCATTTATGATTACCTTTTAGAAATCCTAGGCCTCTCTCAGAGATATCTCTCAATAATTCAAGGACCTCCTTTCATTTCACTCGGCCCTCTCTTCCCATTTCTCTTAGACCTCTCTCTTTTTAAGATAAAAAAAAACAAATAGCTCTCGTCGGTGCCGTCTCTCTCTCGAAACTCTCATCTCTCTCCTTTCTCTCTGCACCGAGACCCACATACACACACGCACACCATCGCACTTGCTTGAGGAAGACACCCATCGTCATCAGCAACCTCGTCTTTCTCCCTCTCCTTCTCGTCTCTGCAACTCGGCGACGCAGGAACCCTCCGACGAGTTTCTTGAATTTCTCCGGTTAGGTAAGCTTCGGGTTTACCTCATTCTATTCTAGATTGAAGCTTAGACGTGAAATTTAAGTTCTATCTCGTGTTTTTGCAAGGTTTTTGGGACGAAATCGGCTCGGGAATAGGCACACCCATCTCTGGCGAGGCCGTGGGTGTCGACGAACTTTCCGAACACCTTCGACCGTTTCACGGCAAACGGAAGTTATAAAAACATTCCTCTCATCTTGTATTTCATTTTGATACCTAGATCGGAGTCTAGGGTGCTCTTTTACAGTCGGCCGGAGCTGTAAAAGCTCCGGCGTTCTTCTCCGATTCGCACATCTCCAAAATATCGCGATATTATCGGTAATATCGCGATATTGTTGATATTATCGCGATATTTTGACGAAAACTCAGTGGATAAGTATTAAAATATCGGTAACTCAAAAAACCGATATTATCGGCGAAATATCGCGATAATATCGGCATTTCATACCTTGCCCGTCGCCAAGACCCTTAGGAGCCCATACTCTCAAGGCGGCACCACGAGGCTGCACCACTCGCCAAGTCCCGCAGCGTCGGGAACCTAGGCTCTGATACCAATGTTAGGTACTCAAGCCCAAGGGAAGAGCCCAATCCAAAAAACTAGTCCAATAGGTGGGAGGACCCCTTGCACTTAAGTACCACTACACAATTTCTTGTGTACCCGATGTGGGATCATAACAGGGTTGGCTAATTTATGTGCTTATTTATTTATTTATGCAGATTTTGAAATCTTGGGTGAGTTTTTCAATGACTTGCACACCTCGATTCGGTTGTTGCGGTTGAGGGGATTGAAGTCCAGTTTCAGCAACATTTACTCCCAAATCGAGTGTTAACGGATAGGTATTTTCTTTTGCTTGGTTGCTGAGAAAATGAAAGGCTTTTATGTAAATTGATCGTTTTTATCTAGATTTTTTGTATTAATTGGACGACAGTGATCCTGACATGGCAGATCCTCTTCTTGATGTTGCTTGTTCCTCGGTTTGAATTGATTGAATGGCGAATGACTGAAATATATTGTCCCATCACTGCGGAAAATGAGCTGTCCATTGTGAGCATAATCCATGGAGGTAATCTCACTGTCAAACATTTTATGAATGACTCTCCCAGTGCTGAATTTGAAAAACTGAAATATAGATATAGAAGTTCCACCAATCAAATACAATCAATTAAATTGATAATATCCTTTCAACCCTATAACATTATTGGAATAAAAAAAATTTAAAAAAAAATTAGCTCCCTCGTGCTTTAGAAAAAATATAAACTAAAATCAAAGTAGAAATAAAAAAATTTTGTGTGGGGATTTCTAATGAGATATTGCATTGTGGTTGTAATGCAATGCATGCGTATGAATCCGTATTCATATTAATTTGAGATCCAAGATGTTTTTTAGACTAAAAGAAAGAGTTATAAAGTAAATATGGCTGCAGGACCATTGGACCAAAGGACCACACACTCTAACAATATATGATGAATAGTACTCATTGTTCTCTTTTTTGTTTTCTAATTCTTCTCTTTAAGGTATAATATGAAAATCTTATTTCAAAATTGTGTTTTTTTCTTTCAGAGAAAATTTGGGCTATAAGAGCTCAGTGCAAAGCTTCCTGTAAGCATGGGAAAAAACCAAGGCACAGTTCCACGCGAGGTAGTTCAATCTTTCATTTTCGTCTGAGTAGTACTTGCCCTCCAAGTATTAGATTTCTTGCAATTTTACTTTTACAGTGCTCTTATAGTTTGCCATTTTGTCTTGAGATGCTTTTAATTCTTGTTACATAGCGGAGCTGTAGTTCATGTGTGAATTTTTGTTTCGTTGTGTTTGGGGTTCATAAGTGAATGCATTACTCAGGGATGGCTGTCAGCTTATCCCACATATCTTTTACGTTTTCACTTTATTCATGTGCTGAATTATCGTTTCTCTCTAAATTGAAGAACTAAAAATGGCAAGCAAACTAAAAAGCAACTAGATTATGAAATGGGTACTTTGGTTTCTCATCACTTCTTTGTTTTGTAATTTTCATTTATTCATGTTCTTTTGACAGCGACGTGTTCTATAGTATTTTTGGTTTTCCCTGCGTCGTTTATTTTATGCTTGCGTGTTCTTTTGTATGCCTGATGTCTTTCTGTACAAGCTATGCATGAAGATTTGTTGTTGTTCTCAGCCAAGAGATAATTTCACGGATTATGTTTTTAAAGTCATACAAAATACTTCTTGAGGATAACTGGGTTTGTCGGGACCTGTTTTCACTACAAATAGGATGTATCTTTTATATAAAAGAAGAGAATGGCGAGTTGCCAAAATTTCATTCTTCATCTTGATTTATTTCATGATGCTTTTTCTTTCATTTTATTTGATTCTTTCATTAGCTTTGCTAATTGCTACCACTAAATTTGAAATTGAACATCAATTACATGCCAAATGGACTTTAGAGATCAAGTATGGAGTGGAATGAGAGGAGAAGTCGTCACTTTCTCTCAGAGCAAGTCCACCGGTGGTGGATTAGGCCAGCACTCAGCACAAAAAACAGGCTGGGACCCTGTCCATTCACTCCAGCCCACAAAACAGACTGGCACCCAGCCCAAACTGGTCTCTGGGCCAGCACAAAACAGGCTGACCAAGAAGCTGGGCCATTTGCTGGCGTTGGCCACGTGGCCGATCCTGGGCTATTGGATTTGAATATTTTTCAAATCCAACGGTCCAAATTAATTAACTACATTAAAATTAATTAAAAATATAAAAAAATACAGATTTTTTTTTAAAATACAGTAAAATTTTAAAAAAGTTATTATTTTTTTTCTATAAATACCTAACCCTCATCTTCCACCTTACACCACATTTCAATATTTTCTAGACCTTCTACCAAAGCTTTCATATACTTTTTGTGTGAAAAAAAAATACCAAAAAGCTCATCCTTAATTTATTTGATGAGTTTATGTAATTTTATTTTAGTGTGTTTTTTTAAGTTTATTTGATGAGTATGTAATTTTATTTTAGAGTGTTTTTTTTTAAGTTTATTTGAAATTTTATCCGAAATTGGTTAAAAATCTTATCTGAAATAAACTTTAAAAAAAAAACACACCAAATAAATGCACTGGGTGCCAGCGCATTTTTTTAGGGGTGGAGATGCCTTGGCCTATTACTGTTCACTCCAGTCTATTACTGTTCACTTGAGTAGATAAATACGCTGGGTGCTGGCGCAAAGTCCTTAGGGGTGGACTTTCTCAGGTCTCTCTGGACAAGGTTTCCCTTATTTTTATGTAATTGTTTTTTTTAGTTTAATGAGATGGAATTAAATAGTTAAGTTACCATACTAAGACCATCTCCAACCCTTGGGCTAAAAGCAAACTTACTTAGTTAAGTTACCATACTAAGTTACCATAAATAGTTTAGTAAAATGAGGATAAATCATTAAAAACAAACTTACCTTAAAGCTGCTACCCCGACGATCGCAAGATGAGAACAAAACGCCGAACAACAAAGGATTCGATAAACCCAGGATCTCTTCTGAGACTATTTTGCAAAAGAAAGAGCAAGGATTTGAGAGCAAAAGAGGGGCTGGCGAAAAGGGAGAAAGTCGCGGAGGTGGATTGTCTGCCCTCTCATTTCCATGCTCTCCTCATGCCTGGTCACGGACCAAAAGAAATGACGGTAATGCATTATGCAAAGATAACCAAAAGAAATGACGGAGCTTATGAGGCCCACTCAACTACCAAACCATGCGCCACAAATGCCTCGGAACTAAGCAAGCACCAAGCTGGCGTTGATCCCTGAACCCAACAGACCTAGATTGCAGCCAATGATAGCCCGATCGAACCGAGTACTGCCCATTCTTACTCACATCCCAAACTAGCCGATCTTTCCGACTAAGATCACCAAGAGGGGTAAGACAGATAGCATTTTGCTCCGCCTCCGAAATAAATAGATTAGTTTTTAATTAAGTCAAACACCTAGGTACAGCTTGACCTTTAAACTTGTGAAAACCGCAAAGATCGGCAGAGACAATGATTCAATGGATAAAGAAGCAATACTTCGAGCAACATCTGCCCACAGCGTAACTGTCAGCTCTTCTCCTTTGTGGGAAAAGCAAATTCCAAACAAATTTTTAATAGGAAAGTAATATACAATGCAAGCCTGAATATGCACCTGTGATACCCTGAAAAATTAATAAATCGATTTATGGTTATGGAAATAGAATTTGGAAATTTTAAAGCTGTTTCCGGACATTATTATAATTAACGTGTTAAAATCTATCGATAAGTGGAAATGACGAAAGTGCCCTAATTGGTTAACATACTTATACGAGGATGTATTTTATTGTATTTCTTGATATATTTAAATAGATGACGACTATGTGAGCATGTAAGCAAAAGCTGTTCGTGAAACAGAGTTATAACGAATAAGATATAAACAATCAAAGTTAGAGAGCAAAATTGTAATTTTGGGGAGGGAGTATTCTAGAAGCCAAGGGCTTCTCTTCTTTTTCTTTCCCCGCTGGGCAGATGCAGAAACAGAGGGGGCAGCTGTTCTTCTCCCCCTTAATTCTTCTTCACAAAAAAAAAAAATGATAACTTTCTCATACGGCAACGAAATCATGCACGGTCAAAGGCTATGTATTCGTGGTGAAGCCCTCTTCAGATTGATCCCAAAACCCGCACGTTTTTATCCCTTAGGAAAATACATGTATAAAAAGTCAGATAAACAAGTGGTGCTTCTTATTTCATGTTGTATTATATTCAACATGTTATGTAACTGGTTTTATTGACTTTTGTAGGGAATTTCTCATTTGTATACCACTCATACCTCAGTTAACCCAAAATAGATTCCTATCTTAATTTTCTGTTGGTTTGGGAATCTAATCCAAAACCTGTATGTTATAATCTTTATTTTCCCAACGTGAAACTGTTCAGCTTTATTTAAAATGGCTGGTTATGGTTTCATTCGAGGAGAGAACAAATGCTATTAGTAAGTTGCAGTTGGAATACAAGCTATATTGACCAAATGAGGGAAGAAATCGCAGATTCTCAAGGAAATGATGTTCGTGCTTGAATGAGGGTTACATCTTTTGTTTCATCAGGACACTATTTCTCGCCATTTGGGTTCTTTTACCTTCTCTACTAACTTGTTAGAACATTTGGTAATGAGAGTTTTGAACATGAGGCATCTATTTCTAAACGGTTGCCAACTATGTTATACCTGTAACAAAATTAATCTCAAAAGAGAACCATCGCATCCATCTTAAAGGATCGTGCACTCACATGGTGTGAGCACCAGTTGAGTGCTAAGCTAAAGTTTGGCTCAAACGAGTGGTGGTCTTGTAGGTTTTTCCTACTAAGATTGTATTTTATTATAGTTGAATATGCAAATTTGTCTGCCACATGTAATGTAAATGCTATATTTATCAGGGAGGTGAAATAAAATATTGTGTAAATGGGAAGGAAAGATGTGGAAGTATTTCATGGTACTGTGGACGTCTTTCTTATGTGGGAGCAAATCGCCCACGGGTTATGATTAGGTTTCTATAGGTGCAGTTCCATTTTATAATCAGTGCATGTGCAAATTTTTGTGGATTGGAGTGTGGTGAACTACGAATGGTTTGATCCCTTTTGAGAGTACGTAGGCAGTCTAACAAGGATGTTAGATGTAGCCATAAGGTATGATAATCTAACGAGGATGTTAGATGCAGCCATAAAGTATACGAAAAATTATTACGCAGTTGTGCTTTGCCCATATTCCGGAGGCGGGGTATGTTAGAGATATGGGTATTTGTTAACGTCACGTGTCGATCCTGGACATAGGTCGGGATTGGGGCGTGACAGCACCAGTAGTTTCAGGAAACCTTGGTCTGCATACTCTGCAAACTCGAACCTTGATTTTTCTGCATTTATGTACGGGACCAACTGATTGATAGGAGTAAGAGCTCTGTTTTCCATCAACTGGAGTCAAATTAAACAAAAATGTTAGAAATTTAGAAATGATATGCTAGTCCTGAATCAATTTATAAATAATAAAAAAAAAAGTAAATAAAAACTCTAAATGAGGTCAACCCTATCCTTCTCTTATACTCTTCCATCTTCCCTCTGTTTTCCTCCCCCAATTCTGAATCATTCTTCCACCCTTGGTATCTCGATTTTATCTCACCTTAACATTTTATATCCAACCCGCAACCCAGCTCTCTTCAAATTGTATTTAAAACAATGAATTGCTTGCATAAGAATGGTGCAAAAAGGCAGAATGCAATCCAATTGAAAATCGGTCCAATAAAAAATTCAAACAAAAAAAACTCCTCATCTCTCTCATCAAACCAAAATTTGCAAATCCAACAGAATTCCTGATCACAACACATAACATAAATTAATAAAACATTTTACTCAAATAACGATTTAATTTTTAAAATTTAAAATAAAAAGAACTAAATGCACATATTTGGAAGAAAAAAAATGGAATGATTCCATATGTAAATCTCACCCCAACAGTTTTAAAACGCAATCATCCCAGTGCAAACAGAAGGTGGAAAATGTTGTCCCAGCACAAACACAACCTGCAAAATAAACAAACCAACACACACAAAAAACCAAATGAATAACGATAAAATTCAGAAACCCTACCACACAAAATCATAAGAACAACATAAAAATGACCAATAAAAGTTAGCAAAAAACACACACGATCTGATAATAAACGTCTTAACGCCAATGATGGCCTCAAACCCAAACAAAATCCAAATCAGTTAAAAAAAATAGTGAAAATGAACTGAACTCATTCCTCTATCATATTCTTTTCATCTGTTTTCCTACCCCTAATCCCAAATCTCTCTTCCATGCTTTCTCTGCCGTTTTCCCCTCACCCTCGATCCCATTTTCTTCCAAGTTAACAGCCTTTACAAATTTTTTAGAACCATAGAAAGACAAACATGGCCGATTCAAATAATAAACACACACAGTTAACCTACCAATTCATGCCCAATTTGTTAAAAATATGAATAAAAAATAATCACAACACATACTTCAATGGGTCCTCTCATTCCTTCCCAAAAATTATAGACAAATTTTAACCAACATTAAATTTTCCCAAATTGAAATCACTTTTCTAATCTCTCCTGAAAAACTATAAACACATTTTAATTCTTCATGAATGGGTGCTCAAACCGGGAAAAAACCAAAAAGGAGAAAAAACATACCAAAAAAATAACAGGACCACCACAGCTGTTCGTAAATCTGTGATCGACCAACCAAGCAACAAAAACGCAAATACCCTCTTAGCCAGGAAAATCCTAACAGAGGACCACAACTGATCCAAAACAAAATTATTAGAGCTTCATCCAAATTAACAAAAATACAGAACAAAAATTGAAAGACAGCAGTTATAAAACATACCTCGGTTGTATTAAATTGATTTGCCAAAGATCTAAAGACTGCCGGCGCTCAACGACCGAAAGGCAGCGGCCGCTCAAACAGAGAAGAAAACAGGAAACAGATTCGGCCAAAATTCGTCAATCCCAGTCGGAAAAAAAGCAAGAATCACAAAATGTTTGACTGCCGATCGCAAGTCTACAAATCTCGGAAACCAATTTAATGGGGTCAGACAAAACACCCACAACCATAGGTCTAAAAACCCTCCTCAAGTCAGATCGCAGAAATAAGATCGCTTAAAAGACGAAAATCAAGAGCAACTGAATGATGCAGAAATGTTTAATAACAAGATAGTTAAGTGTCTGTTTTTTAATCTATTTGCAGAATCCCAAGACCACAGCCCATAAACTATCACCATGATTTCAACTTGTCGAAGAGTGGGGACGCGTAGGGGGGGCGGCCTGAGCCACCACCCTTATCATTTGGTAAAAAAGAGAGAAAAAAATTGGTACGCAATATTATAAACTACCATTTTTTTATTCCACTTTCATAGCATAATCTCAGCAATCATGTCTACATTTTTATAGCTGTTAACTCAAATCCAACTTTTCAATTATTTCAAAATGCATCCGTAAATAAGGAGTCCTATCAGCAAAATAAAATTTCTCGCACACCTGCAATTTTCCTCCACTTCTCTGAGCTTCAGACTCCAGCAGATGAACCAACTGTTCTCTTTCTTTGGATATCCAAGCTCACCTGTTGTCACGCCATTGCCTCGTTGTCCCGTGTAGGATAAAACAGATTGCTGCAGCTCCTTGTATCAGGCAATGAACACAATATTTAAGAACAGCAAACAATTGGAGAGGAGCAGGCAGGGATGAGAGAAAGAGAGAGAGCAGCAGAAGCAGCGGGTTAAACCGAAAAGAAAATTACCCATATGCACAACCCGAAGAACTCACCAAGAAACCCTAGCACTTCTGCGCAAGAAATTCCTTCAAATCAAAACGAAAAACTGAACATGGGTACCTGATGTTAACACCCACTGACAGCACCAATTTCACAAAAAACTTGTCAAAACCTGCAGATCCGCAGCAAAAAGAAAAATAAAGATCTTAAATTTGTTAGCCCAGACATCGTAAAATGAGGATAAATCATTAAAAACAAACTTACCTTAAAGCTGCTGACCCGACGATCACAAGATGAGAACAAAACGCCGAACAACAAAGGATTCGATAAACCCAGGATCTCTTCTGAGACTATTTTGCAAAAGAAAGAGCAAGGATTTGAGAGCAAAAGAGGGGCTGGCGAAAAGGGAGAAAGTCGCGGACCATTTCCATGCCTACTGTGATCACGGACCACGTTAAGCCACGTCAATATTTTATATTCTTATTACTTTTTGTTTTATTATTTTTATAAAAAATTAATATAAAATATTGACGTGGTTTAACTGTGACCACATAGGCATGGGGAGAGCATGGAAATGGGAGGGCAAACAATCCACCTCCGAAAATCGCAGCCTAACGAATGCGAAAAATGAAGAGGAAAGGTAAAGCAAAAAAGATACGGTCGAAGCAAGAGAAACGGACGATGAAAGATGTGTGGACAGGAAGGACAAAACGGACTTTATACTGTAGCAATTCGTAAACAGTACGTGAAGTAAAGAAGAAACCGAGGGCATTTTCGCCCTTTCACTGTTAATGAACAGTGCTCTATCTCCCATGATGAACAGTAATTTTCTGCTGGCTTTTAGTATATGTACTAGAAATTAGGCCCGCGCATTGCTAGGGGAACCAGTTGTTTTAAGCGTAAATAGATGAATAAAACACATTTAAGTTGAATAAATTCAACACAATTATGAACAAACAAAAGGATACATTTAAGTTGAATAAAAGCAAAACGGATTTTGTTTTGCATTTTTATAATCAAATCAAGTAGCAATGTAACACGTAAAATTACAAACTTGAAGCAACCAGAGAGAGCAAAAATTAAGATGTAAAGATATCCTCAAACTTGCAACATACTGTATGGAAGCTAACCGTAGAGGTTTGTGAAGCAAACTGCGGCATGAGTTGCAGTCAATTGAACAAAAGCATAGTAGTTTAACTTTGTAGTTAAAACCGTAGGCAAATGAAGAACAATGTTCTCTTCATAACGAAAAATTTATTTTAACCACTATCATCATTAGGCAAATCGTTTCACAAATCCAAAAACACAGAATTATATCTTGAACAATGCCAATTAATGATCTCCCATTTACTTAAGCTCAACATCAAAGTCAATGAACTGATGAAAGAGCGAAAAAGAGAAACAAAAAACCTCAATTAAGCAATTAAATGGAGTATTACTTGATAGAGCTGGAAAATTACCCAGTTCTTTAGATAGAGGATCAAGAGTGATTGATGAGAGTGCAGAGAAACGAACGATTGAGAAATTCAAGCTCTGAGCTCAAAGTTGGGGCTTCCAATTTCCAACTGGGGGAGAAATAGCAAGGAAAACACAGAGAACCAATCCACCAAAAATATTAATCAAATGGGTTTCTTCTAATTCAAAATTTGGACCACCCAAATTCCGATGAAGCAATAACCATTCAAAATTCCAACATATTGAAGCCCTCACATACTACAAATTATCAATACCCAGCAATAAAAATTTTGAAAACAGTAATAATGAAGGAAAAAGAAATTAAAGCTGCGAGGCATTCTCTAAATCTCAGGCACCAATCCAAATAGCCAGTAATTTGCACATAAGATAAGAATCTAGCAATATTTCCTTTGTTTAAAACCCAAATTCAAGAAATCATGAAAAATGTAAACTTTATATGGTAATTGAAGCTTTACCTACAGATCAGCAGCAGCAAACGGAATCCAACGGCATGTACCTCAAAAGTGAGAGAGAGCTGAGAGATGAGTGAGAGAATCGATAAACAAAACCTCCAAAATCACAAAAGGAAATTTGAACAGAAAACAAATTTGCAAATCCAAAATCACAAAAACATTGAGAAAGCTGTAAAACCCACCAGGAAACGCTGGCTTTTCTGGGTAAAAAAATTATTCGAATCGAATTGAAGAACCGAGGAAAGTTCTACTGGTTCAGTGGTTTTTCAGCAAGAAATCACCCTGTTTGTAATTCATGAGAGGTTGGATAGCGAGACTTCTCTTTCCAAAGAGGTAGCCCCCATTTCGCGATTGCCAAGCATCCTTCATAGTACTAACAGCAAAAAAACTCAAATAATTCCAAACCTCAACAAATCAAAAAAGGACTAACACAAACACTCAAATAAAAATTTCATCAATTTGTTTATGCTCAATCCGCTATTCTTATTTCATTTCGAATTCTCTGGAAAAAAAATACATAAATCCATAAAAAAAAAAATCTACCCAAATGAAAAAAAGAAAAAAAAAAAAGAAATAGAAGCTTTCAACAGAGAGATTACCTCAACAACAGAAAGAAACATGTGACTTCTTCAATTTGAACAAAATTCAAGGTAAGTGGCCAAAACATTATGATTATTCAGCTAGTAAATAATGGATTCACCACATTTATAACTCAGGAAATGCAATCCACCATCAAAATTCTATTCATTAAATAGTGAACCCTATATCTTTTGCTAATGAATATTCAAAGTATTTGGCGATAAAATAATGCACAATGGAATAGATTAATCATCAATTAATTTTAATTATCAACTAAAAATAATATTCATTAAAATTGGGGTTTCAACAACTCTAGATTTTGCTATTGATAAGTGCCAAAAGATGAGTGGCAGGGATATAAACAGAGGTTAATGGTCCAGCTTAGCAGATCAGTTTATAGGTTAGTGTTTGTTAACCTGTTAAGTATGTGTCTTGAGAGCTAAGCAAGGTGATTAGTTGTTGTATTAGTTCCTGAAACATTATATGGCAAACCAATGTCAGTTCCTATGAAAAATAAGATCACAGAATCTCAGAACAAACAATGCGAGAACATTGCAAGCAACAAAAAACATGAATAAATCAAATGTCAAAATCCAACTGACCCAAGCTTCTGTCTCACTTAATACTAAGTCATTCTTAGCTTCGTCTATTCAAGTAATCTGCACATGCATCCGACAACCCACCTACACCATTAGGAAACAACATGTGTAAGAAGCAGATTAACAAATCAAACATATGCAACTATCTAAGGGAGGAAAAAGTTAAACAATGAAAAGTTGTTAGTTGAGGCAAATCATACTCCACAATGAAAATTAGTAAAGATTAAAGTACAAAACAATTGAGGTAAATCATACTCCAGAACGAAAAAATTTTAGAAATACAAACTTAAAATATTACCCATCATGCTAGACGCTTATTCTAACACAATTACATTCACCTTTCTAATATCATAGTATTTTTTTCATTTCTGCAATCAATATCGTCCAATCTTTGAATTTTTCATAAATTGGATGGTAGAGTGTAGAGCCTAAAAAATGTTAGGCAGGCTGCTACAAAGATAGTAAAGCCCAACAGTTAGAGAACAATGGATATTCATTGTACTCAATATGCATATATCCCAGGGCCAAGAAAGTTATGAAGAAACAGAAATGAAACTGTACAGCAGGTATCCAACAGGGAACAAACAATATGAAACTGGCACTCAAGTACTGTAAGGAAAATCAAATTAGCATTAATCTAACCAGGGCTTCTAGCTGCTAACAATTAGTTGTTAAAACCCTAACATTAATCAAGCGATCCAGCACATATATCTAGCTTTCTTCGCATCCCGCCAGTAATAAAATGCATTCAAGCGCATAGTAGCAGCATGCACAAATAAAGCAGTTTGAGTGACATTACCAGTAGATCAGTGAGTTCACGATAGCTCTTCCTTAGCTCCATGTGTTCCTGCAAAATGGAAAATATAACCTATAAATAACATAGTTCTCAATATAACTTAGTAAAACTCTTCATATGAAGATATACGAAAAGAGAGGAAGCAGATTTCACCTAGCGCGAGTAATGCTCTACATCCCTCTTCATGGAAGCCATCTCAACTTTCATTTTTTGGACTTCGGCTTGAAATCGAGCATTTCAAGAAGGTTGTTTGACAAAGCAAAAAATTCAGAACGCAAAGCTACAAATTGATAATAACAACACTGTTGGGCAATAAACAAAGGATACTTACCTCCAAAGAAAAAAGCTTGCCTTCTGCATCCCTCTGACCTTGGCGTGCACGGTCCACTTCTTCATGCCATGCATGCACCTTAGTATTCACAACTGTGAGTGAGTACTATAATACCATGGTGAAGATTTAAATATCCTCAACTAATTTGGGTTGGGCTAGGCGCCCATGTGACAATGACTATAGTCAAAATTTCAACAAACCAAAATAATATGCAGATAAATAAAATAGAAAATATAGCCAGCTAATTTCATCAAAAGATAAACAATTTGGATACATTAAGACGCCGAGCAGCAGGAAACTGACCTGGTTTCTGAAAGAGGCATCCGTCTCAACCTTTCCAGCAGCCTTTCCCTGGCGAGCAGCATACCAGTTCTCTATCTTGTATGCTCTTTTCAGCTGGATCTTCTTAACTCGTTTCAAAAAAACGTTCATATAGTTCACCTGCTAAGATTATCACACAGCCAAAAAGTAAACAGATTTGTACCAAAGAATACATAAGGAACCAAGAAATGAGAAAAAGATCTACCAACAGAGGGATGAGAAGCAAACACCAGCAAATTATGAAGAAGCAGAGAAATAAGCACAATGAAACCCAAAAATTCAAATGATGGTTTTAACAAAGCAAACGAGAACAAAATAATAAAAAAAAGGTTTTTCAAACAGTGTATAACCTGTTGAATCAAAAGAAAGAACTGAAAACTCATACCCTCCCACACGTCCCTCCTTCACTCTGTCACTCTGTCACTCACCCTGCGCACCAACCCATTAATTAACATAAAAAATTGCACACAGTCATGCTTCCTCATCTCTCTCTCTCTCTCTCTCTCTCTCTCTCTCTCTATCTCTATCTCCCTGTCCATCTCTCTCTCTAAAAAGATAAATCCCCCAAAATCGGACCTAACATACTAAACAATTCCAAAAGCTAAGCTACCATAAAAAATACAATAAAAAAAACGAACTTATCTTTGATTTGAGGCATGCAGCGCAAGATCCAGTACCCACTCTCAGCAGGGTTCATTCATGACCCCTACCCCGTTTCCCTGAAATCCCAACGACCTATATGGTCTTCTCTGACCATACCCACTCTCCCACTTGTGAAATTCACATGCAGCAACAGTGCCGAGAACCCTTCCCTTCCCCCTCGCTCTCCTTCCATCGCCATATCCCTCTCTATCTCTCTCTATCTCTCTCTCTCTCTCACAC